TCCACCCGTCCACCCATCCACCCATCCATTCATCCATCCATCCATTCACCCTCCCACCCATCCTTCCATCCATCCATCCATCCATCCTTCCATCCTTCCATCCATCCATGCATCCATCCTTCCATCCATCCATGCATCCATTATTTGTTGGTTATCTGATATCTTTCTCTGTGAATTCCATGGTTCAATCTGATTTCCAGTCACAAGGTCCCCAAATGCACAGTGCACTTTAAAAACAGGGCTTATTTTGCCGGGCACAGTAGCTCACACCTGTAATCCCAGCACTTTGGGAGGCCAAGGCGGACGGATTGCTTGAGACCATGAGTTCACGACCAACCTGGGCAACATGGTGAGACCCTGTCTATACAAAAAATACAAACACTAACTGGGCATGGTGGTGCATGCCTGTAGTTCCAGGCTTTCAAGAGGCTGAGGTGGGAGGATCGCATGAGTCTATGAGACAGAGGGTGCAGTGAGCTTTGCACCACTGCACTCCAGCCTGAGTGACAGAGGAAGACTTTATCTCAAAAAAAGTGCTTATTTTATCTTCTAGTTATAAGAGTAGTACAGATTATTGCAAAATACACAGAGAAGATCAAAGAATAAAAGTCACCCAGAATTCCCCACTCAGGACCCGCCCCCGGATCCTCCCTCCCCCATCAGTATTCCATGCATTTCCTTCCAGCCTTTTTTCTCATGTGTCCAGGAGCACTAAGCTTTGACATCCTTAGCTTGGATGCTACACTCTCATTTCTGCCTCTCAGACACCTCAAGGCTTATGTCAAATACGTCTTCCTTCAGGAAGCCTTCCAGGATTTTATTTCCTCTTAATGTTCTTTTCTCTGTGATCCTTTCCATCTGAAATGGAGCTTACTCTTTAAAAGAAAAAAAAAAAAAAGAAACACAAAAAGCCCCCAAAACAAACTTTTGGCCAGGCATGGCAGCTCACACTTGTAATCCCAGCACTTTAGGAGGCTGAGGCAAGAGGACGGCTGGAGGCCAGGAGTTTGAGACCAGCCTGGACACCATAGTGAGATCTCATCTTTAAAAAAAAAAAAACAAAAAAACAAAACGTTAAAAAATAGCTAGGCATGTGGTCTCAGCTATGTTGGAGGCTGAGGTAGGAGGATCACTTGAGCCCAGGAGTTCCAGGCTGCAGTGAGCTGTAATCATGTCACTGCACTCCATCCTGGGTAACAGAATGAGACCGTGTCTCTAAATTTAAAAAATAAAAAATATGGCCAGGTGCAATGGCTCATGCCTGTAATCCCAGCACTTTGGGAGGCTGAGGCGGGCAGATCACCTGAGGTCAGGAGTTCGAGACCAGCCTGGCCAACATGGCAAAACCCTCTCTCTACTAAAAATACAAAAATTAGCCTGGCGTGGTGGCAAGCGCCTGTAATCCCAGCTACTTGGGAGGCTGACGCAGGAGAATCGCTTGAACCCAGGAGGTGGAGGTTGCAATGAGCTGAGATTGCCCCACTGCCCTCCAGCCTGGGTGACAGAATGAAACTCCATCTCAAAAACAGAAAATAAATAAACAAACAAACAAACATTGGCTGGGCATGGTGGCTTATGCCTGTAATCCCAGCACTTGGGAGGCCAAGGTGGGTGGATCACTTGAAGTTAGGAGTTCAAGAGTAGCCTGGCCAACATGGTAAACCTCATTTCTACTAAAAATACAAAAAGTTAGCTGAGTGTGATGGCAAACGCCTGTAATCCCAGCCACAAAACCTTTCTTGTGAGCCCCTGCAGGTTCAGCTTCAACCTGTCCCTTTAGTACATGGTCTGAGCCCCTTTCATTCACTGACCTCTCAGTCTCTTACCCTAGTGCATCCTCCCAAGGATGCTTCTGACAATCCAATCTGATTATACCTCTTCTCTGAAACCTTCCATAGCTCCCCAGTGCCCTCTGTCTTGAGCCTGACCTACCCAGCCTGATATTCAGTGCCTTTGTGATCTGCTGCCTGTAAGCTCCCTACTCTCATTCCCCACCAGCATCCCCTAACTTGCCTTGTGTAATTCAGTCCTCCCAAACTCAGCCTGCCCTTTCACATCACCAGCTCTTTGCCCATGCTGTTCCCTTGCCCTGGAATGCCACTGTTTTCTAATACATTTTGCCACATAGATGCCTACTTAATTCTGAGGTTCAGTTCCAATGCCTTCGCCTTCAGGAAATGTTCCCTATTCCTCCCAGAAAGGGCGGTGACCTCTGGCTTTTGATTCTCTGAGTCCCAAGCCCTGACCAATGGGCAGATGCGGGTATGCCTGTCTGCCATTGCATCCTCGTTCCCTCCAGCACTGTTGGGAGCATGGGATGAATGAATGGGCTTGTGTCCAAACTGCAGTCTCCCTTCTCCTCTGCCAGGTGGCCCCTCAGCCTCTGTGGTTCTCAGACACAGTTGCAAACCTGCGGAAGCTGAAGGAGTTGCCCTATCACCTACTTCACTCGGGCCGCCTGGAGGAGCTGAAACAGGAGGTCCTGGGTAAGGGCTGTCCCCATCTCAGGGGACCAAGCCTGGTGACCATACCATGCTCCAGCCTTCTGGATCCTGGGGAGGGTGAATGGCAAATGTGGAAACCCTTGGTTCCTTTTAAGGCAGAGGGTCTCATAAGGGACGATTCTACACCGAGGGGATGACTCACGTATCCACCGATAGTTCTGGTTGTCATGACTAGCGGAGAAGGTGCTACTTGAATCTGGTAGGTAGAACCAGGGATGCTGCTCAACAACCTTCAGTGGACAGGGCACCCCACCACAGAGAATAATCTAGCTCCAAATGTTGTTAGCACATAGGGTGAAAACCCCTGCCTTATCATGAGGGACCCTATCTGCCTATTTGTCAATCCATATATCCATCTATTGATCCATTCATCCATCCATCCATCTATCCATCCATCTATCCATCCATCTATCCATCCATTCATCCATTCATCCATCCATCCATCCATCTATCCATCCATTCATCCATGCCTCCATCCATGCATCCATCCATCCATCTATCCATGCATTCATCCATCTATCCATCCATCCATCCATCTATCCATCCATCCATCTATCCATCCATTCATCCATGCATCTATCCATCTATCCATCCATCCACCTATCCATCTATCCATCCATCCACCTATCCATCCATCCATCCATCCATTCATTCATCCATCCATCCATCTATCCATCTATCCACCCATCTTTCTGTCCATCCATCCGTCTATTCATCCATCCATGCATGCATGCATCCATCTAATCTTCCATCCATCTAACCAGCCATCTGTTTATTCACCCATCCTTTTGTCCATCCATCTATCCATTTATCCACCCATCTTCTGTCTATCCATCCATCCATCCACTCATCCATCCATCTATCCATCCATCTATCAATTTATCCACCCATCTATCTGTGATCTCCTCATTGAGCCACGAGCTGGTTCTAACCATCCATCCATCCATCCATCATTCTATCTACCCATCCATCTGTCATTCTATCTATCCATCCACCCATCTATGTGTTATCTGTTCATTCATCTACCTTTCTGTTCATCCATCATCCATCCATCCAACTACCCATTATTCTATCCATTCACCCACCTATCTTTCTGTTTGTCCATCCATGCATCCATCCACCCAACATTCTATCTGTCTGTCTGTCTGTCTATCTATCCATCCATCCATTCTCTCATCCCTGTGATTCTCAACCAGAGGAGATTCTGCCCTCCCAGGAGACACTTGACAATGTCTGTGGACATGTTTGATTGTCACACTTGGGGTGGGAGTGCTACTGCTATCTGGTGGGTGGAGGTCAGGGATGCTGCATTACATCCCACAATGCAGAGTTCAGCCCCTTACCACAGAGAATGATCCTGCCCCAGTGTCACTACTGCTGAGCCTGAGATGGCCTGGAGGAGATGGAGAGATGATTCTCCATCTCCCAGGATGAACCGGAGGGAGGTAAGCACTTCCTACCTCCTCCTGCCTTCTCTCCCTCAGGCAGCATGAGCTGGATTTCCTGCCGGGGAATCTCTGGGAGCATCGAAGACCTGCTGGACGACTTTGACCTCTGTGCCCCTCACCTGGACTCTCCTGAGGTCGGCCTGGTCCGTGAAGCCCTCCAGCTCTGCCGCCCTGCTGTGGAGCTCCGAGGCATGGGTGAGTCCGGATGGCCTGGACGGGAGTGACCAGGATGGGCATTGACTTCTAGAAACATACTCTCATTGAATCATGAGCTGGATTTTCATCAACCCTCATACGTTCCCTGCCTAAACATGTGGGTTTTTCCCCAGCACTGCTTCTAGAATTTTTTTTCTTTGACACGTGGTATTGCTGTGTCACCCAGGCTGGAGCGCAGTGGTGCAATCATAGCTCACTGTAGCCTCAAACTCCTGGGTTCAAATGATCCTCCCACCTCAGCCTCCCGAGTGGCTAGGACCACAGTGCCTTGCTAATTTTTCTATTTTTTGTAGAGACAGGGTCTCACCATGTTGCCCAGGCTAGTCTCGAGCTCCAGGACTCAAGTGATCTTCTTGCCTCGATCTCACAGAGTGCTAGGATTATAGACATGAGCCTCGGAGCCTGGCCTAGAATTTTAAATCGAGCCTGGGAGAACTTTGGAATGAAAACTACCAAAGCAGTGCCCATCCTGTCACCGTGGGCTGAGACTTTTCTTTAGAAAGTGCCAGATAGGAACTATTTCAAGAAAACTCGAGGAAATTATCTAGGTACATGTATGATAAGAGAGAAAACAAAGTTCCCACGTATTTTTATTGATGACATTCAAAATGTAATAATAACCGAGTAAAACTTGGGGGTTCACAGTTGGTTTTTGCTATTATCTGGTCCACTGCAAACACGTGGCTGTAAAAATTATTCTCAGGCTGAGCATGATGGTTTATGCCTGTAGTCCCAGCTACTTGGGAGGCTGAGGTAGGAGGATCACTTGAGCCTGGGAGGTTGAGTCTGCAGTAAACTGTGATTGCTCCACTATATACCAGCCTGAGTGACAGAGGGAGACACTGTCTCAAAACAAACAAACAAACAAAACCTGTCCCTAACTCTCAGATGACATGGGCTGGGTCTGGCCCTCAGGTTACAACTTGCCACTCCCTGCCTTAGAGTTTGAAGAATCTCTCCAAGTCTTCAGATGTCCTGGCCATGAGGATGTTCTGTTTGGTTTTGTTTCAATTAGAGCAAAACACATGTCTTAACCATTTTTTTTCTTTGAGACAAGATCTTGCTTCGTTGCCCAGGCTGGAGCACAGTGACATGAGCTCAGCTCACTGTAACTGCCGCCTGTCAGGCTTAAGCAATCCTCCCACCTCAGCGTCCCGAGTAGCTAGGACTACAGGCACGCACCATCGTGCCTGGCTAATTTTTGTATATTTTGTAGAGACGGGATTTTGCCACGTTTCCCAGGTAGGTCATGAACTGGACAAAAGCAGTTCTCCTGCCTCAGCCTCCTAAAGTGCTGGGATGGCAGGCATGAACCACTGTGCCTGGCCCCCAGCTTAGCCATTTTTATGTGTGCAGTTCAGTGATTAAATATATTAATAATGTGAAGTGATCACCACCATTCATCTCCAGAACTTGTTAATCTTCCTGAAGTGAAACTGTCTTCAATAAACACTCACTTCCTGTACTACTCTGTTTTCATGCTGCTGTAAAGAAATACCCAAGACTGGGTAATTTATAAAGGAAAGAGGTTTAATTGACTCACAGTTCCACATGGCTGAGAAGGCCTCAGGAAACTTACAATCATGGTGGAAGGGAAAGAGGCATGTCTTCTGTGGCAGCAGGTGAGATGGGGAGCAGAAGCATGGAATGCTGCTTTATAAAACCATCGGATGGTCAGGTGTGGTGGCTTACGCCCATAATCCCAGCACTTTGGGGGACTGAGGCATGCAGATCACTTGAGGTCAGGAGTTTGACACCAGCCTGGCCAACATGATGAAACCCCATCTCTAGTAAAAATAGAAAAATTAGTCGGGTATGGTAGCATATGCCTGTAGTCCCAGCTACTCGGGAGGCTGAGGTGGGAAAATTGCTTGAACACGGGAAGCAGAGGTTGCAGTGAGCTGAGATCACACCACTGCACTGTAGCCTAGGTGACACAGTGAGACTCTGTCTCCGAAAAACCCCCCAAACCATCAGATCTCATGAAAACTCACTATCATGAGAACAGCATGAGGGAACCCATGCCCATGATCCAATCACCTCCTATCTGGTCCCTCCCTTCAACGCATGGGGATTATGGGGATTACAATTCAAGATGAGATTTGGGTGGGGACACAGAGCCTAACCACGACACCCCCCGTTCTCCCTTCACCCCAGTCCCTGGCAAGCACCATGCTATTTTCTGTCTCCATAAGTTTGACCACTTTAAGTATTTCATATAATTGGTATTTTACAGTATTTGTCCTTTATTCTCTGATTTCTGTTACTGAGCAGAACATCCTCAAGTTCATCCACATTGTAGCATGTGAAGAAATTTCCTTCTTTTTTTTTTTTTTTTTTTTTTTTTGAATGCTACAAAGTCTTGCTCTGTCACCTAGTGGCATGATCTCGGCTCACTGCAATCTCCACCTCCTGGGTTCAAGCGATTGTCCTGCCTCAGCCTCTAGAGTAGCTGGGATTACAGGCATGTGCCACCATGCCCAGCTAATTTTTGTATTTTTTTAGTAGAGATAGGGTTTTGCTATGTTAGCCAGGTTGGTCTTGAACTCCTGACCTCACATGATCTGTCCACCTTGGCCTCCCAAAGTGCTGAGATTACAGGCATGAGCTACCATGCCCTTCCTTTTTAGGGCTGAATAATATTACATTGCGTGAATATGCTACATTTTGTTTATCCATTCATCTGCCTGTTGACATTTGTGTTGTTTCTACCTTTTGGCTATTGTGAACTAGCCAGATCACATGACAATTTTGTGTTTAACTTTTTGAGGAACCACAACAGCTGCACCATTTTACAATCAAACTATGGGAGGCAACAAATGAAATCTTTTTCTCTACCCTTTTATGTTCAGTGATAGGGGCCTGTGAATGAAACTAACAAAAGACAGCTCAACAGGAGAAAGGGCTCACACATTTTAATTCTGTATGCATAGAAGCTTCACAGAAGATAAGCGAAAACTCAAAGGAGTGCTTAGACCTGGGGCCTTACATACCATTTTAACAAAGAGCAATAAATTGTGAGGCGAATTCACAAAGGAAGGGGGAGTATTAAAGATGCTTAATTCTCGGTATCTAATGTGCTTCCCCATCGACGTGAATAGCATGTTAAAAAGGATGACCAGTGGTCTGTGATTCCTATGCAGAGCTTCTAATCCTGGCTCTGCAAAGCATCCTTGAACTGTCTGCTTCTCTTTATCCTCATGACCATCAGCCCAGGGCCAGTCCTGCTGCCTCTCCTCCAGACCCTTGCCAAAGCATCCTCGAGGCTTTGGGTTCATTCTTACCCTTTGGTTTATTTTCCATACAGCACCCAGAAGAATCTTTTGAAAGCCCAAATCAGCTGGGCACAGTAACTCACATCTGTAATCTCAGCACTTTGGGTGGTCGAGGTGGGTGGATCACTTGATGCCAGGAGTTTGAGACCAGCCTGGTCAACATTGTGAAACCCCATCTCTACAAAAATTAGCCAGGTGTGGTAGCATGCACCAGTAATCCCAGCTACTCAAGGGGCTGAGGCAGGAGAATTGCTTGAACCTGACAGGCAGAGGTTGCAGTCAACCAGGATCATGTCACTGCACTCCAGCCTTGGTGACAGAGCAAGACTCTATCTCAAAAAAAAAAAAAAAAAAAAGAAAAAAAGAAAAGAAAAAAAACCCCAAATCTCACTAAGTATCTCTTTGTTGGAACTTTTAGATGGTTCTCCATTACCTTGGGGTAATGACCTTTCCGGTACTGTAGCTACAAGGCTACGTATGACTCGCTCTCCTGGGAGATCCTTGTCTCCATCCTTACTGCCCTAGGCAAATAGTTAATGTTTGTCCCAGCCTTTAAGAGAGGGACACGAGGCCGAGTGTGGTGGCTCACATCTGTAATCCCAGCACTTTGGGAGGCCCAGACAGGAGGATTGCTAGAGTGCAGGAGTTCAAGACCAGCCTGGGCAACATGAGACCTTGTCTCTATAAAAAAAATTAATTAATTAAAAATAGATAAATAGGTGGCTAGGTACAGTGGCTCAAGCCTGTAATCCCAACACTTTGGGAAGCTAAGGTAGGCAGATTACTTGAAGCCAGTTTGAGACCAGCCTGGGCAACGTAGCAAAACCACATCTCTACTAAAAATACAAAAATTAGCCAGATGTGGTGGCGCATGACTGTAATCCCAGCTTCTTGAGAGGCTGAGGAACAAGAGCTGCTTGAACCTGGGAGGCAGATGTTGCCGTGAGCCGAGATCGCACTCCAACTTGAGTGACAGAGCAGGACTCTGTCTCAAAACACAAACAAATAAAAAAGAGAAGGAAATGGAACAGCATACCTAACAACTGGAATTCAAGGCAACTGGAAAGAACAGTAACGTGAGAGGCACTCGCCAGAGTTGTAAACCTTGATGGAGCAACTTCTTAGGAAAACAACCTTGGGCACGACTTCCCAGTTTAAGAAAAATTTAAAAGCTCAGATCTCAGCACGTTCCCTGCAAACCCCCTTGATTGACAACCTCTGGCTCCCCCGACACAAGGAGGAAGTGTAGGAACAAATGTCATCACCAGAGGGCGCTGCTGGACATCTATGTGCTCTCTGTACAGCCGAGCAAGCTGGGAAGTGGACACCATTCAACACTAACCTAAATGATTAAATGATCCAAAGCCATCATGAGTCTTTTTTTTTTTTTTTTTTTTTTTAGTCTAGCTCTGTCGCCCAGGCTAAAGTGCAGTGGCGCGATCTCGGCTCACTGCAAGCTCCGCCTCCTGGGTTCCAGCAATTCTCCTGCCTCTGCCTCCCCAGTACCTGGGATCACAGGCCTGCGCCACTACACGGTCTAATTTTTCTTAATAGCATATTTTTTTAAGAACAGTTTTAGGTTCACAACAAAACTGAATGGCAGGTACAAAGATTTCCAATATATCCCTCCTCTGATCCTGTTTTTATTGAAAAGGTTGGGTCTAGGCACAGTGGCTCACACCTATAATTCCAGACTCTGAGGGTTTGAGGAAGGAGGATGGCTTGAGCCAGGAGTTTGAGACTAGCCTGGGCAACATAAGGAGACCCCATCTCTACAAAAAATAAAAAATTAGCCAGTCGTGGTGGTGTGCACCTGCAGTCCCAGCTACTCGAGTGGCTGCGACCAGAAGATTGCTTGAGCCCAGGAGTTTGAGGCTGCAGTGAGCTGTGATCACGCCACTGCACTACAGTCTGGGTGGCAGAGCAAGACCCTGTCTCTCAAAAAATAAATAGCCAGGCGTGGTGGCTCATGCCTGTAATCCCAACACTTTGGGAGGCCGAGGTGGGTGGACCACTTGAGGCCAGGAGTTCAAGAGAGCCCGGCCAACATGGTGAAACCCCGTCTTCACTAAAAACACAAAAATTAGCCAGGCGTGGTGTTGGGTGACTGTAGTCCAAGCTATTTGGGTGGCTGAGGTAGGAGAATTGCCTGAACCTGGGAGGCGGAGGTTGCAGTGAGCTGATATCACGCCATTGTATTCCAGCCTGGGCGACAGGGTGAAACTCCATCTCAAAAGTAAATAAATAAATAAAGTAAATAAATAAATCTGGGCGTGGTGGTGCATGCCAGTGGTTCCGACTATTTGGGAGGCTGAGATGGGAGGATTGCCTGAGCCCAGAAGTTCGAGGCTGCAGTGAGCTTTGATCGCGTGCCACTGCACTCCAGCCAGGACAACAGAGTGTGATACTACCTCAGAAAAAAGAGGAAGGAAGACAGGAAGGGAGGGAGGGAGGGAAGGAAGGAGAGAGGAAGGAAAGGGGAGCGTTCTAGGCAAGTTGGGCAAAGGCTGGAGGCTAGAAACAGCTGCGTACATTTGAAGTAAAGGTGAGTGAGTCTGGAGAGCAGAGAAGGAGGCAGAAGAGGCCAGCAGAGGCTGTAGCTGAGGTTCTGTGTCTTCTCTTTCATCCCACAGCTCCTGCAGGGAGTGGAGACTCAATTTGCAGGAAAGGTACAGGGGGCTGAATCTAGGCAACTTAATCCACATCCTTTTGTTGCAGAGAGGAGCCTCCTGTACACAGAACTGCTGGCCAGACTCCATTTCTTCGCCACCTCACATCCCGCACTGGTGGGACAGCTATGCCAACAGGCCCAGAGCTGGTTCCGGCTGTGTCCACACCCTGTGCTGGTGCCCCTCGGAGGATTCCTCCAGCCCCCGGGAGGACCCCTCCGGGCAACCCTCAGCGGTTGTCACAAAGGTGAGTGTCCCCAGCATAGCAAAAATCCCAGCAGGCACCTGCTTGCATGGGGGCAGTGAATGCCAGTGTTTGAGACTGTCCTCTGAAACTCCCCTGCGCTAGTCGGGAGGCCCCGAGGGTGCCATTGGAGCCTGCCCCTGCTATCTCATGCTCAATTGCCTCTCTCTGCCCCCCAGAGACTGTAGGTGACTCATACAAATTCTGCTAATGAGCCCGAAGCTAGGGGATGCCTCCAAGCTTCCCATCTCCAAGGGATTTGTGCCCATCTGACAGTTTGAGCTATTTACAAGCTCATGCTAGTAAGTCTGGAAGCTAGGAACTAATGCCTGACAGACCCCTGGGAGGCTGATGGAACTGTACTCAGCCCTTGGGATCCCAGAATGTAAGGGAGAGATGAGGATTTAAGTTTTGCCTTCCATTTGTCATTCATTTTTTTCTTCCTTCCATTCATCCATCCACCCATTCATTAACCTTCCTACTCTTCCATCCAATTACCCTCCCATCCATTCATCCGTCCATCTCCCATTCTTCCATTCATCTATCCATCCATCCATCCATCCGGCACCCTCCCCCCCCACCCCTCTATTCATCCATCCATCTGTACATCCACCCATTCATTCACTTTCCTACTCTTCCATCCAATTACCCTCCCATCCATTCATCCATCTATCTACACTCCCACCCTTCCATCATCTATGCATACATCCACTGCCCTCCCAGCTCTCCCACCCATCCATTCATCTTCTCTGCCACCCTTCCATCCATCTACTGCCCGCCCATCCATCCATCCACCCACCCTCCCACTCTTCCATCCATCTACTCTCCCATGCTTCCACCCATCCAACCATCCATTCACCCATCCACCCACCCATTCATACATCATGTGTCCATTCATCCAATCATTTACCTACCCTTCTATTTATCCATCCATTCATTTATCAAACCACCTTCCTGCCCATCCATCCAACCATCTACCCACCCACCCATTCATCTATCCACCTTCCCACCCATCCATCTACCTGCCACACTTCCATCTGTCTATCCGCCATTTATTAATCCATCTACCCTCCCACCTTTTTATCCATTGACTGTCCCACTGTTCCATCCACCTACCCATCCACCCACCTGTCCATCTCTCCATCTACCCTGCCACCATTTCATTTATCTACCCCCATTCATCCATCCATCTATTATTCATCCATTCACCCAATCATTTACCTACTCTTTCAGTAATCTATCCATTTATCAAACTACCTTCCCATCCTTTTATCCATCCATCCACCTACCCATCCATCCACCCACCCACCTACCCACCTTTCCTTCCATTCATCCACTCACCCATCCATTCGTCCATCCATCCATTCATTTATCCTTCAACCCTTTCTTTCTTCCTTCCTTCCTCTCATCTATCTACCCATCAGTCATCCACACTTCTATTAGTTATTCAGCCTTCTACCCATATATCCATCCATCCACCCCAGTCCACTTACCCTTCCATTTTTTTTATCTGATCATCTTCCATTCACACTCTTAACCCTCCACCCATCCACACACTCTGCCATTCATCAACTTGCTCACTTCAATTTCATCTAGAAATTGATTCCTCCATCTACCCATCTATCTGCCCCATCCATTCACCCATCCACTCATCCAACTAGCTGCCTGTCTACCAACTCACCCACTTTCATTCACCCATCTATTTATCTGCTTACCCACAATCTCTCACGATTGTGAGACCACTGAATTCACTTGTGGTTCAAATGTCAGAGCTCTCACTGTGCCACATGACCTGGTAGTGAAAGCCACACTCCCCAGGCACATTATCTTCAAAATAGAAATGCTAAGAGACACTAAGTACAATGCATGGAGGAGTCAATTTAGGGGCAGCCACCAGAATGCTGTGTTGAGAAGGATTCTGAGACTGAAGCTAGCTTAGTCAGAAAGTGTATGTATTTATTAGGATATAGGTTCAAATATCATTAAAAAAAAGACAAAATAGCAGTGGCTTAAATAAAATAGGAGTTTAATTCTGTCTTATGAAATAGTTCAAGCAAAAGAAGAGGTATAAAGGAGTCCTTAGGTTGTCTGGGACCCACATACCTTCAATCTGGTTGCTCTGCCATTTTCAGTGCAGGGATGTCCTCATTGGCCCAAGATGGCTGCTCCAGCTCCTACTATCCAGATGGCATTCCAGCCAGTAGGGACTAGGAGAAGCACATGGCAGGCCTCCTCATTTTAAGGGCATTACCTAGAGGCAGAACTAAATATTTCCACTCCTGTCTCATTGGCTAGAACTTGGATATGTCCAACTGTAAGGGAACCTGGGAAATACAGTCTTTTTTTTTTTTTTTTTTTTTTTGAGATGGAGTTTTGCCCTTGTCACCCAGGCTGGAGTGCAGTGGCATGATCTCAGCTCACTGCAACCTCTGCCTCACAGGTTCAAACCACTCTCCTGCCTCAGCCTCCAAAGTAGCTGGGATTACAGGCTTGAGTTACCACACCTGGATAATTTTTGTATTTTTAGTAGAGATGGGGTTTCACCATGTTGGCCAGGCTAGTTTTGAACTTCTCACCTCAGGTGATCCGCCCACCTCGGCCTCCCAAAGTGCTGGGATTACAGGGGTGAGCCTGGGGGCTTAACCGGGTAAATATGGTCTTTGTGCGGATGACCCTGTACTCAGCTAAAACCTATGAGCTTTTGGGTTTTATTACTAAAGGTGAGATGACATAATGGCTATGGGGGCGCAAATCACATATAGTGCTGTGATTGATTAGTGATGTCTGTCATGGCACAGGCATAGGAAGTTACAACTTAGAGTGAAGTTTTTGTCATCTCTGGGGCAGGTAAATGTTCTGTGTTTCAGATCCACTATGCCCTGTTGTACATCCTCTAGTCCTGTTAAAGTTGAAAAAGGTCTTACCCATGTGGGCTTCGGTTTGTTCATTTTTAAAATGAAAAGTATAAGTTAATATTTCCAAGGTCACACAATGAGTGCATGACAAGAAAAAAAGAAAAAGAGGCTGAGCACAGTGATTTATGCCTGTAATCTCAGCACTTTAGGAAGCCAAGGCAAGAGGATTTCTTGGACCCAGATGTTCAAGACCAGCCTGGGCAACATAGGGAGACCCTGTCTCTACAAAAAGTAAACAAACAAACAAAAAAGCTGGGTATGGTGGCGTGTGCCTACAGTCCCAGCTACTTAGGAGTTTAAGATGGGAGGATTGCTTGAGCCCAAGAGTTTGAGGCTGCAGGGAGCTATGACTCAGCCACTGTACTCCAGCTTGGGCGACAGGGTGAGACCCTATCTATCTGGGGGGATAAAAAAGGAAGGGAAAAGAAGGG